TATTGGAAACACACTTCAAGAGTCACACATATTTCCCAATCCAATTCACAGTTGATCTAGCCCGGAGTGTGGGCGTGGATAAGACTCACCAGTAATCCTAGGTTCACACTTGGAAACTTTTTACAATAATTTAAAAATACAAAGAAAAGAAAAACAAACATGAATATCAATGAAAACATTGTCAAACAGCGATGAATTGATCGTCGACGAAAACGATGAAAATGATCATCTCATCAGCTATGATGTCGTCATACACCGAACCGATGTTGTTGTAGGAAGTAACCCAACTAGGATGATTCAGGAACAAAGCTGTTTCTCTTATTTTAAGTGCTTCTTCATAAAACTCAAATTTTCTCGAGTAGTCACCCATGTTGTTATACACAACAACGATGTTGTTGTAGGAAATAGTGGAGTCGGGATGATTCGGAGGAACAGTTCTTTCGTCTATTTTGAGTGTTTTTCGGTAAAATTCAAGTGCTTTCGAGTAGTCGCCTATGTTGTTATACGCAAGACCGATGTTGTTGTAGGAAATAGTGGAGTCGGAATGATTCGGAGGAACAGTTTTTTCGTCTATTTTGAGTGTTTTTCTGTAAAATTCAAGTGCTTTCGAGTAGTTGCCCATGTTGTTATACACAACAACGATGTTGTTGTAGGAAATAGTGGAGTCGAGACGATTCGGAGGAATAGTTTTTTCGTCTATTTTGAGTGTTTTTCGGTAAAATTCAAGTGCTTTCGAGTAGTCGCCCATGTTGTTATACGCAAGACCGATGTTGTTGTAGGAAATAGTGGAGTCGGGATGATTCGGAGGAACAGTTTTTTCGTCTATTTTGAGTATTTTTCGGTAAAATTCAAGTGCTTTCGAGTAGTCGCCCATGTTGTTATACACAACAACGATGTTGTTGTAGGAAATAGTGGAGTCGGGATGATTCGGAGGAACAGTACTTTCGTCTATTTTGAATGCTCTTCGATAAAACTCACGTGCTTTGGAGTAGTCACCCATGTTGTTATACGCAAGACCGATGGTGCTGTGGATAGAAGCAAATGAAGGATGATCTTTTGGGACCATGTTTAGCTGAATTTTGATATCTTTTTCGTAAAATCCGATCGCCTTCTCATATTGACCCTCCTGCCCTCTGACTCTACCAAGCTGGTGATAGATAAGTGCTTTATCACTGTCGTTGGAAGTGTTCTTGAGTAATTCGTTGTAAAGTTCTTCAATTAGATTGAAGTGATCCATTGCGAGCATCAGTTGACCCATTCGATACCATCCAGTGCCGTGGAATTCCTCTCGTATTCGATAAATGAATGTGATCAGTTGTGGACGATTGTCGTCTGTGAGATTCAATTGAACTTCCCATATACGACTAGTATTGATCGTCTGTTTGATTTCACCAACGCGAAAAACAGTATGCATTGAAAAGAGAATTTCTTTTTCTTGCGGAAAAGTGCTGTAATCATTGATGAGAGCGGACGAAGTGGTCAAAGTCGGTACTTTACGCGGATCAATTACCATAATAAAAAGAATACCGACCTGGTTTTTATATTTCCGTAGTGCACGTCGAATGAATCGCATGGCTTCCTTTTGTTCTTTACTGATGAGCAAGAAGTTATTGAATAAGAGAAGTTCATCTTTCGTATCCAGTAGATATTGAAAGTCTTGCTGAGACAGCCCTTGACCACGATAAATGATAAATTGTTTTGCACATGCACCGGAATGATCTTGATACAGCTGTTGCAATTGTCGATGAAGGTGTTGAATAAAAAAGGTCATTTTTGTCATGACTTTCATGTCAAGTGATCGTAAGGCTTGATTAAGCATGTTATACAGGCCAATATCATAAGTATACCACCAGATTGGTGATTTATTGTGATATTGACACCGAAAATCTTTCAGCTCAGATTCGGAGATTTTTTGTTTCCGACAATCAGCAACTAGATTTTTTACCGATTTTGCATTGTTTTCATCTATTTCTAATATAATTTCTTTGAATAGCAATGAGTACATGTAGGACAGTTCCACCTGATCACGATTTTGTTGATTCAATGCCGTTGCTGTCATCATCTGCTTCGGAACGAAACTCATCGGAATCGTGTCATGATCGCATTGATGGGCGATCTTTTTTAAAGACTCACATATGGGCTTGATTGAAGTGAAGATACCTTTAATCTTTGGCCATTCTTTTGTCCATCGTTCGTGTTTTGATTTGTTGCAACAAAAGATGTAAATTGCGTCTAATTGTGGCATGCCATGAATATCTGACACGAGTTGTTGACCTAAAGCACCGGAAGAAATGATGATGGCTTTCTTGTCACCCATATCATTGAGACGTTGGATACATTGTGCTGATGTTTTACAAAGATTCACTTCTCTGACAACACTACGCAACTGTGTCAGCGTGTGTTTACAATCTTCATTTTTTTCGTCGATGTTGCCATCTACCCACATGAACAAATAATTTGGAAGCCGGCTGGCAATAGCTGAGACTGTCGTAGTTGCAGCTGCACTCATAGCTAATTTGAAAAATTTTTGCTTGGAATTTTGTATTTATACATTTAATACCCGATGTTTTTTTTTCTAGATTTTTCTATGACGTCATGTGGGTTTTTTTCATTGACACTCAACAACAATCTCCACGTAATTTCAATTGAAACTATGGTCGCCCTGAAAGAACGAAAAAAAAAAGCAACAACATCATTTATTTTATGGTTATTTTTGCCAACTTTCGTTTGCTTTTCATCTGTAGAGTGACACTTCAGTCACTAAGTAATTACCATGTCTCATTCATTCTTTATCTTTTTCTTTCATTTTATCAGAACGAATGTTTTTTTCTCTTTCTGGTAGAAATGAAAAAACCAACAGAGAAACCGTCAGTTTGTTGTTTTTTTATTGTGACTACCAAAAAACATTCTGCTAATGTGAACGAAACAACAAGAAGAGTAAATTGAATTTTGATTGAAGCAACAATCAAACAACGACTTTTACTGGTCACTTACATTGTTTGCTTTTCACAAATCGCTCAAGTAAAAATAAGTACTCTCATTGTGCTTCATTCTCAGCGATATGTATTAGGTACCACGTTTACTGAAATAAATACGAGTACTCGAATGAGATTTCGAATAAAATTGAATATTGAAGTATCCATTATGAAATCGAAAAATAAATGAAACAGTTTAAAAAGAATTTTTCATATGGATATAGCAAAACAAACGAAAGTTGTATCTCCTAATTGTAGTTATGAGTACTATTCAGATCATGTACTAAACAACTCTAATTCAAATTCAAATCAATATTTACAATAAAATTAGACTAAGTTCTCTTTGTTATTTCGATATGATAGTCCTTAGTTGAACGACAATTATATGTGAAAATAAACTTTTAGTTTGTTTTTGTTCATTGGGGGAGCCATATGTGAATGAGAAAATTTTATTTACATTCGAACTAGATTGAGATAGTTACTGTCTAACTGAGAGTCTTTCAGTAGTTTCTACAGTTCATAAAGAAATCATATTTATATTTCGTTTATACACATTTAAGATTTACACAAATTTAACGTGCAACACTAGAGCGATGTTTATAATACATGTATTTCGATGCAAAAACATACTGGGAAATATGTTTTTATTGAGAACGGTGAATACAATTAGCGCAAAATGTGATCATAAAATTCATCCATTAGCCGTGTCTGCTTGATATGCATGCAAAAGAAACTCATAAATGTTTACGTAGAGTTGACAAATAATATAAAGTATCACTGATATATTTTTTAATTAAAACCAGCAGAAAGAGATTAAAGACATGAATGCTGGTTTGCTTAGTTCAAAAGAAAAAAAAAACATAATTACAGTTTATGCCAAATGTCTTTGTAAAAACATAGAAGTTTATTCCGGAAGAAAAAATGGCCGTAACGTTGATTGCATGCTTCTCTTCAATTTCTTCTAAAAATACAACTATAGCAAATATGAAAGATCAACAGAAAATTACATTGACAACAAACGAGCTCCACGTCATCAACAGCTCTTTGTCACCGATTGTGTCTATAATTCTATGGAGTTGACGAGTTTGAATTAATCTAAATGCATGAAAATCAAGTCAACACTGTTCATTGTATTACACTCATTCCCTTCCTTTTCACGATAATTGATTCCCAATTATCTAATGTCGCAAAAGTTCCTAAACTAAGTATGATCAGCATTCTATTGGAAAGATTGTTCATAGCGAATGATCGTTTAAGAATCAGTTCTCTAGGGCATTCACTTTTTTTGGATTGTGGCCATAACGATTTTTGTTCAATTATAGATTATTTCAAACTTTTTGTCGTGTGGCAATTGTCACAGTTCGCCATCACGTTGATCCGCCAATGATCCTAGACAATAATTTTATTTTAATAATCAATGAATTACATATTTTATTACATCTATTGATTATTAGCATTATCTAGCAATAGCAATATTTGTTCATAGTATTCTACGTGATGTGTACATATGTTTATTATGCAAAAAAAAAAATGAATTTTTCGTGTGTACGTATAAACTCACGCGTGCTAGCATTAAGAGCAAAAAAGAACAAAGAACAGAACGAGTTCAACTCACAAACACACAAAAGAAAGAACAAAAGAAGAGAATATGAATATAAAAAGAAAAACAAACAAGCCAACGTCTCTTCGATGGAAACAGAAGAAACTAACAAGAAAAAAAAAATAATAATAAAGAAAAAAAATCAACATTGTTGTCTTTTCTTTGAATTAAATCTTCTTTTGTTTTTTTTTTTGTTTTAATTAATTATTTTTTTTCATTAGAGATCAATAGATGCAATAAGAATAAACAAGCACACCATAATGAGAGCTGAGCTACACACAAAGGAAGAACAAAAAAAAAAAAAAAAAGAGAAGGTGCAGGTATTATATACGAATGAGTATCTTGAAAAAGAACTTGCTACAAAAGAAAAACAAACAAAAGAACAACACGACAACACTAGATAATAAAGAGAAAAATTCAATTAATCATTTTTCTGATTTATCTTTGCTTGCAGCTTCTTTTTTTTCTTTACGTTTTCGAAGAAATGATGGTGTTCGAAATTTAGATTTTTTCTCCTTTTTTACTTCTTCTTCTGTTGTACCTTTACTACCACTTGTACGATTTGGTGAAACCTAAATATAAGATAATTAAAATTATATTCTCCAAAAAAACAAAAAAAATACAAGGAGTGATTCTTTTTTGTCGTTATAATAAGAATCATGCCATTGATACCAATAGAAATCAATATAGCGAAAAAAAAACCCAGCCTTTTTAAAATAAGCATAATAGCAGCCCTTAATATACTAACCAAACTCTGTGTTCGCACCACTGGTACTGATGATACTGTTGAATACTGTAGATAAGAAAATTAAGATAAAAATACTTATTTTTTTTTCCTCGAAATTTCTTCGCAAATCATATTTTGCTTGTAAAAAAAACATCAAAGCTAAATATATTTAACAACATACCTCTCGACTTGAAGGGCCTGATGATGACGTAGTTGATTTTATTGTATCCGATTGACTTGTCATCACTTCTGAAAGAAGATAATCATATTTCAATGAATTAAATATAAAGTTTATATAGAATATCAAATCATTCATACTTGCAACAGCACTAGCACTACGCGAAACAGTCGTACGACTTTCACTTTCTCCATCATTACCTAAAACACATGCACATGCAAATTCATGCTGCGAATGCAACAGTAACGATGCTTTGCTTCATTATTCTTACATACAGTTTTGCATTAGTCTGAACATGTGCGTATAGAATAATAGCCAATGCATGATAAATCTAGGGTGATTAGAGAGCTATGAGTCTACGTTTTTTTTGGACCTGGGCCTTGTTTTGGAAGAATCCACAGCTTCCTAATGGCGTTCTTGGATTAATTTCGGATGTAGCGGCCGGTTGCAAGAACATAGCAGAATGTTTTTCAAAGGCTAAAGTTTTTTCCGTGACCAGGAATCCGTATCTCTAGGAGACAGCTATTATTATCTCGAAAATAGGCCTCCTGTGACAGAAAAAGTCTAAATGAATCTAAGATCACCATCGCTTTCATCATGCATTCATTGCCTTCGTCGGTATTCTATACATGCATGTCCGTACAAGTACAACGCTCTATCTAAGATCGATGACCGTCATTACTGTTACAGTTCTAATTCACGCATGTTTATTATCTTAGTACATACTCTGTCCTGATAAAGTAGAACTTCGAGGTAATGTTACATTTTTTTCTGATGTTATTATACTTTGAACGCCTGTACCATTAATTGATTGTGGTGATCGACCTAAAATTGTTTATATTAAGGATGAATATTTAGATAAACTAAAATCGTCTCTCTCTCTCTCTCTTTCTCTCTCTGATTGATAATACTATCCGTGGGTAAAGTAAAGAATGATTTTGTATAGATTAAAAAGTAATAGAAATAGAAAGTATAGTACAACAAAAAGAAAAATAGAATGTAAAATTAGATCATGAATAACAAGTCAACTATAGGTTTTATTCATGATATAAGAATATTTTGATATAATGGCAATATATGTATTATCAACTAATTAATTTTGGCTTGATAATAATTGGAATTCGATCAAATAGATTTTTATGAAAAATTATGATAACTATTATGTTCTTGTTCTTCATATATATCTTTTGTTGTACCATTTTGTATATTATATAATGTATCTTGTGATCTTGATCTTTGTTCATTATTATATTTCATAAGATAAATATTTTCATCTTTATTAGATGATATTTCACTTTCTTGAACAAGTTGTTCAGCATGTATAGTTGACATTTTCTTACATAAATAAGCAAAATATTCATCTCGAGATGAAAATTTTAACATACGACGAACAGTACGTGATGATAAATAAGATTGTTCAATAGATAAATATTGAGCAAGATTTTCATAATAAATTTTATGATCACCTTGTTTATATAAATAAACAGGTGCTTCTCGAAGTGCAATATTTTGATAATGATTTGGAGATATTAATTGTGGTTGTGTTGATCGAATAGTATTTTGACTTGGTGAAATCATTGTAGAATTTAAATTCATATTTGATGTTGAATCATATTCATATGTATATTGAATATAGAAACGTGTTGGACGATTTGATGATGAAATTGTTTCATCATCAGGTATAATAAGTAAACATGGTTTCAAATCTAAACTTGTTTGAAGATTTGTATGATCTTGTTCTAAATTATCCATATAAGATAAATTTAAATATCTTGCATCACCACGACCATCTTTTGTATAAAGCATTTGTTGATCATCATTAAACGATGGATGTTCTCCTATAATCGATGATGATAAATTATTAACTGATTTTGAATGTCTTAATAATGGTAAATTAGGAGATCTATTCGATCGATGATGATCTTCAATTAAATTTTGATTTTGTAAAATTGACTTTTCTTTATTTCCATTATCAATTGTTTCTTTTGATAATTCAAATGAACTTTTTCCAACTGTTATTATTATTCCTCCAGCACCATTTGATTGTACTTTTCCAATACGATTAATTAAACGTGCAATTATACTACCAGTACGTTGTGGTGATGTATTTATAGCTTCAATTGAATCAATAGCATCAACACATGGTATAACAATTTCATTATGATTTATTTTAATAACTAAACGATCTAATTCATCTTGATATATTCTACTAGTACGATGTATATAATTAGAAAGTATTAATAATGGATCAATAGTATAATTATTTTCTATTGAAGGTTGTTCAATATCTAATGTTGTTGTTGATGGTGTTTTTTGTATAAGACGTAAAGATTTATTAAATGGAAAAATTAATTTTAATTTTGAATCAATAAAATTTTCTTGTTGTTTTAAATAAATTAATGGTAAATAATAAAATTTATTTTTATAAATTATTTCAATAGAATTATTATGATAATAATTTATTTGACTTGAATTATTTAATAACCATTGTGATAATTGATAACTATTAAATGGTAAAATTTCATTATTTAATAAATGAAAATTTTTTATATTAATTATTGATTGTAATTCATTTAATGGTATTGTTAATATTTGATTTGAAAAATTTATTTGAAATAATTTTAAATTTTTATTATATGTTATTAAATTATGATTATACATATAATCAATTATTTTATGATATTGTTTAAGTAATTCTGTTTGATTTTCTTTATTATGATTATTAGAATATTGTTCATGTGTTTTAATTATTATTTTTAATGATGGTATTTGTATACATTGTTTATTATAATATAATAACCAATTATGAAATTCATCTTGTTTTAATTGACTATATTTTATTAATATAAATTTCATATCTTCTCGTCTATATTGATTTTTATGTATAAATTGTGTATGTTCAGGTGTTAAATATAATTTTGAACCATCAGATAAATTTTCTAATATTAATATATGATTTTTATTATCATATTTTATTTCACCTTCATCATTTATATATTCAACATAATTATCAATAAGATCTTCTTTTTCTTTTGATGATGATTCTAATGTTAAATTATTTAAAGGTTTTAATGAATATGTATGTCCATTAAAGATAAAATTATCTCGATCAAAAGTACCACCATTTGTTAGTAACATATCAATGATATACGAACGATTAAATTGATGTTCTAATATTTGTTGATACCAATGTGAAGGTAATAAAAGATAATGATTTGGATCATGAATAAATTCAAGTTCAATATGTTGATTATTTTTATCAATATGAATATGTTGAATATTTGATGAAAGTAATTGTTCTTCTATTAAATGATTATTTTCATCTAATGATATATAATAATATATATAATTTTTTGTATTAACATCATATTCAATATGTCCATTTTGAAATAAATAATTAGCTATAGTTTTAACATCAGTTGTTGGTAACATATATTTATATGGTATGTGAAGAATTTGTGTATTTTGACCATTAAATAATTCAATTTCAGTTTGTTGTGTATATTCATTTGATCGAATAGAATGTATAATTGATTGTAACCAAATTAATTCATCTGTATCTAATATAATATTTAACATAGGAAATATAAATTGACCAGATGAATATTGAATATAATCATATAAAAATAATATATTAGCTATATCATTTATATTAATAATATCTATTTGTTGATTATTATTATTATTTTTTTTCATATATGTATTAATATGTTCATGTTTAATAAATAATTTTTGTTTATAATTATTTTGATCATTAAAATAAATAATAATATCATTTTGTTTAGTTATTTCAATTAAATTTTTTTGTTTTAAATTATTAAGCCATTGAATTAAAATATTAATATGATTTTGATTTAAATATTTTTCAGAAGATTTTATTTCTAATATTTGTTTATTAAATGTTAAAATTATTGTTTGATTATTATTATTATTATTATTATTTTCATCAATATGACATATTTCTAATAATACACGAGCTAATTCATGTGCATTTATATTATCACCTTGTTTATATTCAATTAAAAGATGATAAATATATTCATATGGTAAAATAAAATTATCAGTTAAATATAATGAATTATTTTCAATATAAACATTATCTAATGTACGAAGATAATTTGCTACACGTTCAATAAGTTCTATTGATGGATATGTTTGTAATACTAATATACGTTGAACATCAAGTTCACTATTAGCTATATGAACAAGTTTTTCATTCATATTATATGAAACATAACCAATACGAATTAAATATTTAAATATTTCATGCCAATAATTTTTTTCTAATTGTTGCATTTTATATAAATCTATTATATGTAAACCTAATTTACCTTTAAGTGGAATAATTACACCATCAACATTGAGTTTATATGTATCGAATGATAATGTTGTATGATCAGAAAGCCATTGTTCAATTATTGGTATTAATTTTGTTGGTATCTGTCGATTGACACATTTAAGTTTATGTATCCATGATGCATTTTGATATTTTTTTTGATAAAATAACCATCGATCAATTGATAATATAATTGCTTCTCCACATATAAATATAACTAATTGATTTGATTCAGTTTCATATGGTAAGAAATCTTGATCAATAAAATCAAAATAAATATTTTTTGCTAAAATAAAATTATTATTTGATGATGGTAAATGTATATGTGATATATGTATTTCTTGATCATCAATAATAAGTATTAATGTATTATTATTTGAACATATATGTTTTGCATATGTTGATAAATAATCATATATAAATTGTTCATAACTTAATGAATCAATATATGATTGTTCATAAGAAGAATCAATATTAGTCTTATTTGTATTAATAGAATTTGTATATGATTTTTCAATAATTGTTATTTGATTATCATTTTTTTTAGTTGATGTTTGAGAATCAATTTTTAAATCAGTTGTATTTGGTATTGAATTTATAATATTAATCGATGGATTTATTTCAGAATATTTTGTTATATTTGATGATGATCTTTGTGGTATATGTTGTTGCCATGTGTCAGTTCCAGTTATATTTATTGTTGATTTAAATCGTTTTGTTTCATTAGTAGATGATGATGATGATGAACATTTGGAATCATTTTGATGTGTATGTAATTGATATTCAAGATCTTTTAATTGATCTCGTTGAGAATTAGTTAAACTTAACCAAAAGATTTCATCCCATTGCCATGTATGACCATCCTATAATTATTAAAAAATTTTAAATTGTCTTTTTTGTCGAAACTCGATAGTGGTATTAGTATTTAACTTATCAATAAAATCGATTAGACCTTTAAGTCAGTGAAGGAATGATTTATCCATAGGTATTTAACAAAACATAAGTCAGATAAAGGATTAGGTACTGTTGTAAAGCACCTGTTGCAAATGTTTCTTAACAAATGTCAAATATAAGTCGACACGAACAGAAGGTGATAGGTACCTCTCGTTAGACAGAGTATGATGTCTTGTTGAATAGAACATGTCTCGTCAATTGATATTTATGAATTATTAACAAAGTCGGTTTGAGTTTTTTCCAAAGCTCATGAAAAACATACTGTATATTTCTTTGATTTGTCAGGACGAAAAATCAAAGTCTTGGCTAACAAGAGCGCCATTTTAAATGAGTCAGAACTAGTTGTTCATAGATAAGACTTAAATATAAGTTGTTGGTTGTCAAAACCTATTCTTTAAAAGTGGAAATTACACATCATCAACTTCTGTTCATGTAAAATTGAATCTAATATTTGTTTACAAACTTTAGTAACATTTGTTATTAATTTCTCATACTTTATTTGAGATTCGAATAAGACTTTTACATTGATTTTACCTGTAAATAATGTCCAATATCATTAAGATTTGTTATTGATTTACCAGTAATTTGTCGTATTTGATCAAGTTTAAATGGTGGTTTTAATTGATCATCTTTGGTATTACTCATAGAAGAATTTATTCTTTGTTGAATAATTTGAACTGGTTCAGCATGATGCATTGTTAATGTATTATAATCTTTAGTATGAAAACGTATTTCAGTACCATATTTTGATAAATTTTCTTTTGGTTCAATTTTTTGTATTTGTTTTATTGGATTTGTTACTATTGATGAAGATTTATTTTCTTGTTCAAATAATGTTCGTAATGTATTAACATGATTTGTTGTTATATTTATTTGATTATCAGATTTATTTGTATGAATTTCAATTGATTTTGATTTATTTATTGGATGATAATCAAATTGTTGTAATTGTTCTGTTACATGATAAGAATTAATATCAGTTAATTGTTTTTTTTCATTGATATTTGGTATCATATGATTTAAATTTTCAGTAAATTGTACATGTGATAAATGTTTTTCTTTATCATTTTCATATTGATTATCAATGGGTAAAATATCATCAGGAACAGGTGGCCAACTAGATATACGTTGATTATTTGAAGATATTTGAAATTCATTAGTTTGAGGAATAACTGTAGCTACAGATGATGATGATGATGATGATGATAATAATGGTTCATTTTGTTTTTCATCATAATTAATAACATATTCTTCATAGGAATAATTTGAATCTTCAATAAGTTGATTTGGTAATAAATATTTATCATTAGTAAAATCATTTGATAAATTTTGATTACCTGAATGAATTTTTACATGTTGTTTATAATTTGAATTATTTCCATGAATAATTAATGTTGAACTATGTGTTGATAAAGGTATTAATAATGGTGATGTTTGTGTTGATTTTGTTAATGATAATGGATCATATGTTGTACGATAACGTATTGGTTGACGATTTTGTTGTTCAAAAAAAATACATTTATCATTTGTTGAGACATTTTTTGAATTTTTTGATGGATAATAAATAGATAATAATTGTGTTTCAGCAAATGATGGAATAGATTTTGATGGATATAATGTTTCAATATTTTGTGTTGTTTGTGTATAAATTGTACGTTGTTGTATTGTTGGTAATTTATTTAAAGGTAATGTATGTTCATTTGATTGATTCATATTATGAATTAAAATTTGATCTGAAGATAAATCATTTAATTTATCGGATGATGATGATATTCGAGATATTTGTGTTTGTTGCATTTAAACTGAAAATACAAAAAAAATATTTATTCAATATATCTTTTTGTTTTTTTGTGTTCTAATGAATATTTTTGAAGGTTCTCTTTTTTTTCTAATATACCTAATTTATATTCAAGTCGCCATCATCATCATCATCATTTTCTGTATTCTCTATTTTTAATATTAAAAGAATTTGTTGTGTTCTCTTTTTTCTCACTAAACTAACATAACCACAAACCAACAATCAGGATTTGTTCTCGCCCTTTCCATTAAAGAAAGAAAAAGAAAAAAAAAAATACTATACGACGTCATGCCAAAACTAGTGGCGAATAAATATGATAGTTGAGAATATTTTGCTTTTTAATGAAGTCATATAACAAAAGATTGAACGGCTCAACAAAGGCATAGGATATTATTCATAATTTTCTTTTTTTTTGTCGATCAAAACAAATATACGTAGATTTTAAATACTATATATATGGTCGGACTAAATATCAAAAGAAAAACTCAATAGTACTTAACAAGTCTCAAGAATTTTTATCATAAAATTTTTTTTTTGCTAAATGCATTACATTTTTAGGGTAAAAGTATTAAAAAACAAAAAACTAATACATATCTTACCTATATTTAATATTGTTTATCAGTATTTGCTTTTTTCTTGATGTTGTTATTGAATTCCACGAAATATATTAAAATGATGAATCATAAAATATAATGCATGCGTAGCAGATGACGATCATATACATGACATTTTTTTTTTTTTATCGAGTGAAGACAAAAAATGAGTAAAAGAAGAAGAAAAGGTGCTGAGAAGAACAACACGTATAAAAATATGCTGATCTTCTAATCAGTGGGCGCGCACCACAGAATGAATCATATTTTGTATAACTAATGTATTTTTTTTTTTTTTTTGTAAAATGTCATTATTTTATGTTTGATTCATAATTATAATAATGAATCATCAATTCATGAGAGAGAGAGAGAGACAGATGTTTTAGGATACTTACCTCTACTATCAATTTGTTCATCATATTGAGAATCATTTCCTAAAAAAAAAAAAGAAAAATTCTATTAGTTGATCATTTGTTTTTTCTTCAATTATAAACCATAGCTCATGCTTTTTTAAGAGAATAAATGCAGGATTGAGAATGCGATCATATTACAAAGAAAATAGGTTTTGAAAATGTAATTCAAAAGCAAGATAACCTTGATAAATATTTTATAAGTAAAATCAAGGTTATCAAGTCATGCGATATTTAATTAGAAAATTTCTTATTAAAAAAAAAAATATATATATATATATATAGTTAGTGTATTAAAAAATTTTGACATTTTTTTAGATTTTTAGGAAAAGGATGTGAACTTTAACAAAAATTCTTTTGTGACTTTTTGCTATTTTCTTAGGAAGAATTACGCTGAACTTTGTTCAATCGATAGTTTCAGATTTCAACGAAAGTTATTCCATTTTATACAGCTAAATTTTTAAGGAATAGTGCCGAATTGTAAGATTTAACGAATTAATTTTGTCTGAGATATAATTATCGGACTAATACCATTTAAAATAGGCTTTTATCAATTTTAGAACTTTTTTTTGTCAATCAGTTATTATTAATGTTGTCAGCACATTTTCTTATAGGTACATGATTATTAGATAGACACTGTCATGGTACTCGAGGTTTAAGTAAATAAAACATTTGATTCATGCGTTTTGATCTAGAGTTTTCACATAGTTAATTAGTCAGTTTATATACTATTCGATAGAGAATTGGACGCTAAATAAAATTGTATAATTCATTATGAGTTAAAGTCAAAAATGACTATAAAGAATAGAACATGTTCTTTCCCAAACATACTGCATAGAAATCATTGTATGGAGTGACATTTGTTGTACTCAATGGAAAGCTTCACATTGGAATGAAAAAGATGAGGATTTTCTGGCATTTCTGCTTTGATAGTCAAATTTTTTAATTTTAATTCATAGTGAATAGACCTTAAAGTTTGACTATAATCTTAAAAACGTTAGCTCTACAAAATGAGATAACTCTTATCAAACTGTGACACTATCGATTAAGCAAGGTCTGGCCTGGCTCTCATGCAGTGACTCTTAGCTCTCGATTCACTCTTCAATCAAGACTTTGTGTATCTCGAATGCTTTAAGTCTCTCTTCAAAACTCGACCTTGGTTCACCAACACTCAAATCGTATGAAATTTTCAGAATACGTTGGGAATGCAATGAAGAAGCTGTAATAAAATTTTCAGTCCTGTACAATAATGTTTTCAGGAAATATTCAAGAAACAAAGGTTAAAATTAGCGGATTTAGCGACTTGAAATTCTCAATGAGCCTTCATTCTATTGACTTAATTTTCTTTGCTTGAAAAATTATATCAGAATGTAGGAAATGACAGAGCTCTTTTTACTTTTAAGAGAAGAAAAATTCAATGTCTCAAAAAATAGCGTTCTGGCCCTTTGTCATGTGATAGTAATAAAGTTTGAATCAAGAGAGAGACTGTGTCATGCTCTGCATCTTGACATACTCTTTCAAACAAAGAAAAGCACAAATAGAGAAAAAATGAAAAAAAATTCTTTTTTTTTTTGAAAACTACATATTTTTCAAGGATGAGGATAAAAATCATACAAAATTTCGGCAATAGTGTTTCTGAAAGATTAGGTTACGAGCTATTTTCTTCTGTATTTATCTTAACTTCGATCATTCTTATGAAAACTGACTTTTTTTTTTGAGGTAAGCCTTTGTCTTATGGTTACAGAGCTATTTGCTAATTACTTTTTAATGGATCATCAGCAAAAAGTGTCAACATATTTACAAATGTCTATGCTATAAGAACTTATTCAGAAAAATAATCTTTGTAAACAATCAAAGTGATTTTTAATTGTAGGTATGCCCAAATCTTCTCAGTAGAACTCATCGAGTTCAAGAATTTCTCAACTCAAACTCGGTTGGATCCGAGAAGGACTCAGTAGTCGGTACTCTTCAAAATCAGACTACTAGTACGAACACTTATTATGCTAGACGTAATTCATTAAGTCTCAACTGAAAAGCAAACCGGCACCTAGCTTTATTCTCTCGTAAGTCTTACACATTACCTAGGTCTTGTTCACACTAGAAAATTAATTTTAGTGCATCAATCAAATTAATATTATCGATATATAGTGTATTTTGTTAAACACACATGAGAAAAAAAACGATGCCAAAAAGTGATTCCTCTCTAATTGTTCACAAATAAAAACTATAATATTTGCTGTTTTTTTTTTCTTCTAGTATAGAAATATACTTAATTTTTAACTTGATAGATATTTATGAGATAGAATTTTATCGAATATCATTTTCTCATATTTGATAAACTCTTTTCTTTTTATCATTATTAATCATTTGAAATAAAACTTCTCATTATCATTTAAGAGATTAGTTATCTTCAAACCTCATTTATAAGCAGGTAAGACAAAAAGAAAACATGCTTATTAATTTCAAGCAATTAAAAAAAAAAAGAAAAGAAAAGAACTCTGCCGCACACCAGCCCTATTTATATTAGTAGGTTTCAATTGTAAAATTTTGCTCCCTAAGGAACACAAAAGAAAAAAGAAAGACATGAAAACGATGTGTCAAAATGAATCAATTAAGCATTATGATATACCCTTTCGAATTTCATCAAGTAGAGCATTTTTCTTCAATGCTGAATGAAGAAAAAATTTATTAAATAACAAAAAAAAAGTAATAAGAAATCTGAAAGAAAAATATGGAAAAAAACACACACACACACGAAACAAACCTTGTTCACGCATTTGATTTTGTTCAACTTCACGTTTATATTTTTCAATATCATTATTATCAATATGAGCAAATGGATTTTGAGCATAATATGTTTTATAAACAACAGCATTATTTTGTTGATCACGTTTAATAATACCTTTTGATGCAGCACCAACAATAACAATTGCTTCTGATGTTGGTTGATGAGGTTCCTTATAAAAAAAACAAAAAGCAATAGATGAATTCAGTTTTTTTAAAACTAAATCGAAAATAAAATTATTTTACTTTCATTTGTGATGCATCTTCCCAAGAAGCATTCTCAAGAATTTTCGATTGATAACCAGCTGAAACTTTTTCATTAAAACGATCTTCTTTTATTTGTTTTTGATGATTTTTAAGTTCTTTTGGATCCATATTACTTGGTGCAAATTGATGTTTGGTATCAATTTTAATTGGTGTTGAATGTTTTAAACCTGTATCGGGTACCCACTAAAGAAAAAAAAAACAAATATTTATTTCAAAAATAATATATTTATCTATTAATGACGAAAATTGATTTTTGTGTTCGTAAGATCTCACACTCAACAAAACTACTTCGATGAGAGTCTTCAACAAAACAAAAATCAGCTTTCTAGCAACTATTTAAAGTTTTTAGAATAAAATTTGATTTGACAGCTTAACATGAGACGTCTCCTTCATTGAATTGCATTCGATTTATCGAACAGAGATGTTCATGGCGGTGCTGAATTTAAATAGAATCTCGACGCTTATGTATGCTATACTGTAAGATTTAAACAATCTGATCGATTAGCAGTAGTACTTCTAGTTGAGGCCAGTCATAGTCTTGAAAATCAGAGCATTTTTGTGAATACCATTGTGGCAGCGGCAAATTCTCAGACATCCCTGTTATTGAAATTGGAGGCTTTCTGAAAAATTGTATGCAGTCCGATGATCAAACTTAACAGAAAACTTTTTCAGCTACACAAAAAATGCTTTTTTAGACCCTTGTTAACTATTACAATCGAGATCAAAACTAAAAAATTCAGCGATTCTAAACTTTTCAGATATCAACATTGAAATCATTGTTTTGCTAACCGAATCGTCAATTCCGGAACTAACCTAACGGGTCCTATTTGGCGATCTACTGCCGATTCGGTAATGCGAACACAATTGCAACATAGAATATTTTAATTATTTTTTATTCTATGTAATTTACCTTGGTAACTTTCTTAGGATTAGGTGTTCCTGTTTCTT